TATAATGAGAACGAGAGGGTGGAAACTTAAGCCAGAAAATTCAAATCTGAAATGAGACACACATGTTCAGCTGTGAGGATGATATGCTTTAGCCAAACACAACTTACTGAGCTTAGTACAGAGAGAAACTCAGTGAAATGTAATGGTCTGTGATATGCAGAGGGGCAGGTTCTATGATCTAATCATTTCTTCTGGCTGAAATCTCTTCATAAAAATATCTACTTCAACCATAACTTATGGCCTAAAGAGAGGAATTGCTGCATGAAATTCAATGACTAGTGCTTGTACAAGGTGCAGTTAGAAGTGTCCCTTCTGGCTTTATAGTCTATGGATGGATTAATGTGTTAAAGTAGCTTAAGGGTGCAACACGTGCTGGCAGGAGCCATAACAGAAAGAAACTCCTGTTAAAGTGCTTTCACATAGTCTAGCCTGTGGACATCACAGCTATGTCTGCACCAGCATTTACTGTGGCCTGACAGGAACACATTTCTTGAGTGAAACAGTTGGTGACCCAGCATCCCTGCTCCACGGGGATGATCTCGACCGTGCGCTGGTTCTACTCTGATCCCATGGGCTGATCCCATGGGCTGGATGCCTCTTAGCGGGGAGAGCCCGTGAGAGCACGTTTTCTAGTCTACGCTTGTCTTTGCAGTGTAAACCAAAGCATGTGAGTGGGGCTGAGGAGATCGATTATGAAAGAGTGCTCTCAAGCCAACAAAAGGCATTAATGTGGACTAATCCTCGAGCAGCTTTCACTTGAAAGAACTGTGCCCATACAGAAGATATTTTCAAACATGTCCATCATATACAATAAAGCACTGTGTTCTTCCTTCCCTAGACATTTTGTTAGAACAGAAAACCTTAACTGAGTCTTGATATTGTAAATTGTCTGGTGTAGCAGGAAGCCTCAGCAGTTGGCTCTTGAGTGCTGCATATTGAACTCATTGAGGCTGAAGATGAGGTTCTTACTGTGGTGTAATAATGAAAATGCAGTAGGCATGTGCTGTTATCATCTTGCAGGCAGAATGCGGGAATACGGAGTATTTCAATGCAAAGTTGTGACATGCAATAGGAAGATACATTAGCTGTACATTTCCTTTTATTAAAGGTCTTGTAAATGTGAGACATGTACCAAAAAGGTATTTCTTGTTTTGAACTAAGATAGTTCTGTGTGTCAATTTACTTGACAGTATATAGATTTATTCTGGTGACCACTCTGCAGTGCATTGTTCCAAAGAAGGCAAAGGGGCTAAGTCCCTAGAAGAGCTCCAGATGTTCCTAATTTTTATTTGTTATTAGCAATTACTCACTTGGAATTTTCTAGCAGTTTTCCTTTTTAATAACAAACTGTGGAAGAGTCAGCAGAATCATGACCAACCAGATCATGAAACTTGCCAGTGGTAAGAACATGTACATGCTGAAAAAAGAGGAAGTGTTTCCAACAAACACCGATTTGGATTTACTCCATTTTTCTTGTTTTATAAAGAAGGATTTTTTCCTGCAACGTTTGTACTTAACCAATGCCAATTGTATTCTTCAGAAACTGCAATATTCCTTGAAATGTACTGTTACCGCATATGATACTGCTCCATCCCCAAAGTCATATTTTATATTTTAAACTGTTTGTCTTTTAAGATGTATTTATGGCCATGTTTGTTTAACTTGGTTATCTCCTTCATCAATCTATTTCTTGCTAACTTCAAGCTGCTGCTCTTTGTTTTTAGTATAGAAAGCTGCTTCCCCAGGGATGTATAGTCCAGGGCTTGTCTCTGTAATGGGACTATTTGTTTTCTTTGCCCCTTGCAGTTGCCTGCTGTAACATTTGTAGTATGTGTTAAGTAATCCTTGAGGTAACATTTTTATTATGTCATAAAAAGTGCGTGGCAAATATATAATAACTCATGGAATTTGTTTGTTTAAAATGGAAGGATAATTTATTGAGTGTGTTACATGAGACCTGCTCCCCCTTATTAGAGCTGTAGAAGTGCAGCTTATTTAGAAGTACGTTCTATTGAGAAAAACCACGATCTCTGACATGCATAGAAAGTTTGAGCATGGTTGGGTAGAAATGACATCATAGTTTATGTACTCAATAAAAATTTAATTAAGTCATTACAGAAGTTGCAGTCATCATTTAACCCTCTGATTTCTTATGTTTAGTTCTTTTTTTTAAACCTTCAGTAATAACCAGTCTCCAAATCTTGATAGCCTATAAAATATCTGCATGAATTTTAATAGTTTATATTAATGGAAAAATATGAGTAACTGACATAAAAGGAATTTTCCTTGTGTTTGCACTATATGCATTTCTATAAAAATCAACAGATGAAAAAAGATAGTGGTTTAATGGAAGAATATTTGAACTGGAGATTTACTAGCGTGGCAAAAACTAATTCATATTTTGATAGAAAAGCTGTTGCATAATTACCAAGGTGAGTACTCTTAAGGATACTATGAAAGTATTTAGGACATGTGGTTCACACTCTCCTGAGTGGGAAGATATTAGGTATATGAGTTTTCACAGCTTTTCTTTAGCCTTGTGATAAGCTGTACATCAAAGACAGCAGCGCTTATTCCATAGCAGAACTGATGTCCTACCCTGAATTCCTCCTTGTGGTTCCTTTTTTGTAAAACCTGTCACCCAGATGCAGTCTCCTACATGAGTGTTCCACTAGTACGCAGGTAGGAAGACAATTATCCTTGTTGTTTATACTTCTGTTGTATGTGAGATCTGTAGAAAAGAAATTCTTGGTATCTCTTAAGAGAGTCAGTAGAAAGAAGCAGCTTTACCGATTGAAGCGTAGCTTAGCCCTCAGGAGAGGAACTGTTTATTAAATCATTTTGTTGACAGAAGTAAAAAAGTACAGGCAAAAGGAAGAGACTGTTTGTAGGAAGGAGGTGCACACGAGGTATTTCAGCCATCACTCTGGACCTAGCCATTGACCTCTTTTGGTTCCATCTTAAGCTCACATGAGGTCAGATCTGCAAGCCAAAGGGTGGCTTAGGCCAAAGCAGCAAATATTTAAGCAACTGTTAAATTTAGTTAAAAGTCAGTTGTGGGACTTGGACTGAGTCACACTTACAGCATAGGGGGAAGTAGATGGATCTTCACAAACTCTGAAAGAAATTTAGTCATAGTCAAAAAGTAGTAAGTCTGAGCTTCTAGTGATGCTGTTGAAACAGAATTTGTGTGATTCCTGAATGAGAAGGTCAATATTGACAAGTAGGTAAGGGGTAGTGGTAGGGTTGGTGTCTCCACCTTTAGCATTACAGTACTTTCACTGTAATAGCATGTCCAGCTCTGGAGTCCATGCTTTAGAAAAAACATTGAAAAACCTCTGAGTTTCTAAGAGACCTGAGTGAATGCAGCGAGATCTGGAAAACCTGCTCAGTAGTTAAAATACAGAGGAGTCTTCGTTATCTCAGCCTGTGCTGCCGCAGAAGGGACAGCCTTGCCTTCAGGCTTTCCCCACCTGCATTTTTCCTCCACTCCAGTACCTATGTGTTGGCACTGTCAGCTGAGGATTTTTCTGCCTTCATATATTCTGAGTAGCACTGACTTTCATTCGTGTACGGAATTCATGGAGCTGTATTCCATGTTCTGAAATGTTTGCACTGACATCGTTACAGCCAAATCCAACCCTAGGTGGGCCAAGGCACCGTTTCTTCTTTGCCTACTCGGGGTGAAACTGATAATAATCTCTTTAGAACCTACCCAGATGGTTTTCTGTTTTATTTTTCAGATTAATTCTGTTGCTCTAAAGGAAGATATGAGAAGTATGGTAGAAAATTTCTATGCAGCTCTATTTGGATATGATGAGGTAAGGAGAATGTTTTCAGAGAATGTGCAAGAACAAATAGACCATCTAATTCATGAACACAGAATCCTTCAGATGGGTAAAACATTTGCTGTACATATCTTTGGAGAAATGTTACATTATGGAAGTAGACTTCTTAGTTATTGTGATCATCTTATGCCTTGAATTGAAGTGTTTCTAAGAAAAAAGAAAGCACACAGCACATTGGTTTAAAATGTGAGACATGGAAGGTGGGATGTTCTTTGTACTGCTTCACCATCGCTGCTTAACCATCAACAAATCACTTCCTCCCTCTGAATCCCATTGTACTCAGCTATACTTTGAAAGCAAAGAGAGTATTTATAGGGAGTCTGTGTGGGAGAGTATTTATAGGAAGTATCTAATAATATGGGGAGGCAAAAGCACCACTGTGCACAAGCGTCCGCAGCACTTTCAAGAAGAAAATACAATTCCATCATCTCTTTTAGGAGTAATTTTTTTGCTCTAGTGGGTGTTGCTTTTCAGATGCTCTTCTTATTCACATGGTGAGATTTTTTTTTTCATGGTGTTTTGCATTATTAATAGCTTGTAAATGTAAACTTCATAAGAGTTGTGGACAGTGTTATGCGTGCAAGTCTTTCATCTAGTTTAAAGTATAGCCAGGATGTGTCTGCCTGTCTTTTTTTTCCTTTTCTCTTTTTGTGGACACTCTTTTTGGAAACAAAATGTCTAGTTAAATTAAAGACAAATGTTGACCTTTTTTATTTTTAACTGAATATTTTAAAGTCCTCTCTTGCTTTTGGCAGATGTGTCAGCAGAAGACAGGATTTATGAGACTACATGGTAGTAAATCCACATAATTTAAAAAGACAATAAAAGTGGGAGAGAATTTAGACAAAAAGCGCTCATGGATGTGGTTCTTGTATAAGCCAAATTTAATATTACATGTGACTGGAAAAATCTAGATAGTTCTTGATGATGAGGAGTTCTCTCTTTCTCATTTATGATGAAAAATAGAAAAGCAAAGCACAATAGCAAAATCCTGACTAAATTTCTGCAACATTATATAACTTTTTTCTTTTCCAAGCATCATGGCTTCATACAGTTCTGCGAGGTGGTGCTGTCTTCTCTGCAAGGCCAAAATTTTTATGGTAAAGATTTTGTGAAATAGGAATGCAATTATTGGCTCCTGCATTAGGAATACCCTGACCCAGTTCTTTTTTTCAAATTAACTTGCCAGAATATTTGTTACAGGCTGCTCTGTAAATTAATTTAAGGTCAGGGTTGTTTTTCCATTCTGGGAAAGAGAGATGATGGTGCCTTTTCATATGTACAGTCCATAGCAGCTGTGGGCTTTGAGACAGCTAATACCATCAGTTGCCAAGTAGAGCAATGTGGTTGTCTGTCTTGTGTTCAGACCTTCTTCACGTGCAATTTTTAATCCCCCTCTGTGCTTCCTTTAGGGAATCTTGTCTGATGATCATGTTCTGGCAGCAGCTCTTTGGAGAAACCTTTTTAACAGGAACTGTGAGGACCCTCGGCATCTGGAGTTACTTGTAGAATACGTTCGCAAACAGGTACGCTGCAGCTCATGGTGCGACTTCTCTCCCTTCCCTTGTTTAGAATATTAACTACTTATTTTTATTGCTTGCATACTATGTAGCTCAGTTCTCCTCAGAAATTTAACTGATTTTTACATTCAGTGATTATTTGTAAGGAGAAAAAGGTAAAAATATAAAACCTGGCTGATATGAGTTGCAATTTGATGAAAAATGGCTGCAGAGAAATTCACGGCATGTTGAAACCAATCCTGCTCATCTTTTTCTGGACCTATTCCACAGAGGGGGCTTGACAAAATTTGTCAGAAATGGGCTGCAACTTGTTGTAGAATTACAATTGATGTTGTGGAGTTGGGGTCCTCTTCATAATGAAATAGCACACTGAGCTTGAAGGTCACCTGATGGTCTTTGTGGGAAAGAAGGAGATTTTTTTTTTTTTCAGAATTATTACTGTTTCTTTCAGTTATTACTTGGAGGAAACGATATTGAGTAGTGTTTGTCCTCTCGACCTTTAGGAAGTTTGTGAACCAGGTTTTTAGGAAATACTGGTAGGGTATAGTCCAGGTGGGTACCAAAGACAGAAAAGGGATGAGAGAGGTTCTGGAGGAAGAGTGTAGGCAGTTGGACAGGGAATTGGAGACCAGAACCTCCACAACAGCATTCTTTGTTATGCTTCCAATACTATATACAGGACCAGATAGAGATTTGGAGAGACAGTATTTCAGTGTGTGTCTGAGAAAATGGTATGGGAAATACAGGGCTGAACTTCCTAAGGGACTGAGGGCACTTCTGGAATGCTAGAGGGCTTCTCGGGAGGGACAGACTTAATTTAATGTTTAATATCAGTGAGGCTGTAGGAAAGTTTGAAGATTGGCAGGGAGCAAACACATATAAAAATATGTAATTTGGGACAGCGTGCTCTCAAGTGGGAAATTTGTTGCACTTCTGTATATTCAAGCAAAGGACAGGACAGAAGCTATCAGCAGTTGAATAGGAAACAGTGATCACAGATAAATGTGGCACATTGGGGAAGAATCGGCACAGCTTCTGTGAAGACAGGTCATTCATGTAGACAGCTCTAAACTGATACACTTGAGAAAAATAGTCCCAGCTTTATATATATATTGATGAGCTCTAACCTGTCTGTTACCACACAGGATTGGGTCCTAGGGATTATAATTGTATTATCAAAAAAATTGTATTATTTAAAAAAAAAAAAGATAAAAACTGAACTGAAGAAGGCTCAGAGAAGAGCGGGAAGGATGACATGAAACAGCTCCTTCAGCTCCCTGCCTGAAAAACAGCTAAGAAAGAATATGAGACAGCGCTGGGAAATCTTGAAGGCATAGGAAAGGTGGGCAAGGAAAGGCTGTTCACTGATAACAAGAACGTGGGGACATCACATTGGCACAGGTTGTTGGGATGCTGCAACTGCACGTGGGTTCCAAAGCCACTGGCGAGGTTTATGGCAGAGAAGTCTGTCCAGGGCTTCTGGACAATCCACAACAACCACTTCAGGCTCAAAATCCCTGGACTAACAAATTTTGAGAGGGGGAGAAAATAAACAAGGAAAATATCATCGTATGTGTGCGTTGTGCTTAACTCCTCCTGGGGAACCTGCCGTTGATGACTGTCAGAAACCGGTTCTTGAGCTTAGGTGGCTCTTTGCTCTGACCCTGTGTGGCTGTTGGTGTATTCTTCCCTCCACTGAGAAAATCCTTGTCAGATTGTCTTTTGTTTCCAGTAAGGATTGTGTACAAGGTCTTTCCCACAATTTCTTGCTGATCCTGTCTTTAACAGTGGCTATTAGTGGGATGCCAGAGAAGAATATAGTAACAGGGCAAGCATGTGTACTATTTCCCTGTCAATTCTCGTAGCAATCACAGACTTCCTGAGCCACAGGTGATGTCTTTGTCATTTACTGACCCTTGATAGATTTTTTTTTTTCTCCTTTCTTCCCTCCTCTCTTTACAGTGTCCTGTGGCAGCAAGTGAACCCTATGTTGTGTGACAAGAGGTTTTTTATTTTGCTTACATTGCACATTAAAATTTCATTTGATCCCAAGTGTTTCTTGTACTGCAAGAATGAGTGTTCATTCCATGCTCATCTTCTCCAGCTTATGTGCTTTTATATTCTAAATCTCAGCTGTTCCCTCCTGGCCAGGCTTTTTTTTTTTTTTCTATAGTGAAAAGTAGTTTCTATGTGAAACCACTTCTGTGAGAGCACTCCATGTGGATGATGGTACTAGCAGTGTGTCATCTGAATTAACTGCTGGGAAGATAAAATGATTCATGTTAGCTTTGCGTGGCTCTTCTTTGTCCTGCTGCCAAACTCCAGACAAAGCATTAGCTAAGGCGTTAGTGGAAGACCTTTCGCAGTTAACTCCGGTGGATCTGCAGATACTTATCTCCTAATTATCTTTTCAGGTTTACCTCACACAAATGACAAAAGTATGCTTAAAATCCCTCTGTTTGCATATCGCTTGAGGAAGGTGAATGAGTGATGGGACACCTTGCACTAACATCCTGTCCTTGCAGGTGCAGCACCTGGACGCGCTGAGCGGGGAGGACCTGCTGCTGACGGGCGAGGTGAGCTGGCGGCCGCTGGTGGAGAGCAACGCCCGCAGCATCCTCAAGCCCCTCTCCCCTGTTTACAATGACGAAGGACTCTGAGAGCCCCAGCACCTGACACTTCCATCTGTTTGTGACATCAGCTTGGGAAGCGTGCCTGAAATTGAACTGAGCTGAGGCTGTGGGGTCAGGAAGGAAAATCTGCTGTTGGAAAGAAAATATTTAATTAGATATCTTACCCATGGTGACTCAGTAACAAATTGGACAGCCATACTCTTCTGAGTAGTCACTCGCAAATAAATGCTCATTGGTTTGAGAACCTCTGTCCTTTTTATGGCACTCAGTGGTCCTTCCTGACAACTTGCAAGACCTGCCTTCTGTCTTTAGGAAACCAGATATTTTACCATGACTTAGACTTATCTCCAGAAGACATTTCTGTTCATTGCCTTGTTTGGCGAGCTGCTACATAGAGACACAACAGTGTTCCTCTGCTCATGGAATGGTTGCGAATGCAAATCTGAGCTTTGCATATTAGATGTTAATGTATTTTAAAAGCCTGGTATCAAGATGAAATGGTCCATTTTTGCTTTAGCGGAGTTAAGAATTGCTTTAACAGATTCTGAAGGGTTTTCTGTGAAAATCCTTTTTAGGAACTCTCTGCTCTGTTGCACAAGGATAGGAGGATGCAAAGAATAATGCACAGTCCCCAGTAACACTCTATGACTGGCCATCTTGGTGACAATAAAGTCAAAAATGTGGCTGGGCTGTCACTAAAAGCTGCCTCAGAGTACGTGCTGTTTCAGTCTGTCTTGCTGATATTTCCATATTCATTTTAGAGTTGTGGTCAAAGAATAAGTTTATGAAAAGAACATACCTGTTTCTGTCCATGGCTCTTCAGGAGACAGGTCTATGCCATCCTCCATCCCCCAAAGCAGTGGTCCTGGGCTTTTTAACGAGACCTGTCAACCCCAGTGAAAACTTTCTATGGCTGTGCAGGCAAATTATGCCAACACAGTAATTACAGGAGCAAGAGCTCCACTGGTTAAATCAGTGGAGGTGCACTGCATGGGTGGATGGTTCACCAGCCCATTTCCAGGTCAGTGACAAAGAGTTTTCACTTCTCTCCTGTCTAAAATCCTAGACAATAATAAATGTCAGTCTGGATAAAATGGATGTGTGTGTGTTTTCTGTGCCATGTGTGCTCTTGATAAGAATAAGCCCTATAATATCAAGATTTACTCCCAATAAAACTACTAAACAAAAGCCCAAGGTTGTAATCCTTAATTTGTGAATCCCTAATCTGATGAAAGTGCTACTCTGCCTGGCTGTGACTGTTCTTCCTCCTGGAGTTGCTTTCTTCATATTGTGTGTTTTGGGGAATACTTGACACCCATTCTCTGTAAAGAGCAGTGGGATGCAGAATAGAGGCTCCCAAACACTGGCTTGCATTTTTTTTTTTAATCTTCTCTTAGGGAGCCTTCTGTGTATAAAAAAGGCATTTTGTGATTTTTTTTTTCCAAGGCGAACTTCCTCAGTTTAACTTGTTATAAAATGAGTCATGTAAAGAAACCCTCTATGTGTGAGGTGTATCCCTTCTCTGTGAAAACATTACAGACCAAACAACTTGCTTGCAGTTTATTTAAGATGCTTTTGTTGAAAGCTGAGCTAAGCAGAGAAACCTCTTATGTGTGAAGTATTATACAGTGTGTGTGAGATAATAACACCTTGTAATTCATTACAGCTGGGTTGTATTTACATAAAAGAAGGCTGAGCTGTGTAGGAATTTGCTGATTAATTTATTTTTAATGAGAGTGAAGTATACCAAGTACCAAAATAAACTTTACTTTGTGTATCTTACTGCTCCTGAAATAGGTGGAAAAATTAATGGTAGATATTTTGGCTCAAAGCTACATCCATTAATTCATATACAAAACAGTCATTTAAACTTTAACCCCTTTCCTGCTATGTAATTTAAACCTGGACTCGTATTATCCATGCCATGGGAACGCAGGACTGGGAGTACAGCAGCATCCAACCCGGTGCTGCACACAGGTCAGATCGTGTCATGTCTGTGGTGCTGGTGCTCTGGAGCCAGCAAGCTGGTAGAATCCATGAGACCACTGGTCTGGAGATCACAGAATCACAGAATGTTGGGGATTGGAAGGGACCTCGAAAGATCATCCAGTCCAATCCCAATGGAGATGACAGTTACTTTTGTACTCTGAATACGGGACAACCCTGTGGTCACAATTGAACCCTTTCCTACGTTTATGGGCAGGAGGCTCCAGAAATGATGGTGCCAGATTGTGGTCATTGGCATCTGCTTTTGTGCTTTTTATTAATATGGGAATGAAGAGCTGTAATCACGGCGCTCTGCTTGTTCCATGAAATGCCTTCAGCCACCCCGCTGCTGCAGCGCGGAGCCAGCAGCCAGGGCGTGTTGTGGACAGAGGTGTGTGGGGCTTGTTAAGAGAATAAGGCAGAAACCATCTGTGAATACAAGGGTGATCTGTTAGAGAGGGAAAACATGCTGCAGGCTGCCTACAGGAGAAGGTAGACAAGACAAGAGAAGACTTTGCTTCCCAGCCATTAGTTACCTGGAGACAGGATGTGGATGTAGATGAGTAGATGACCCTCTTACTCTTGAGAGGTGCCTGCCAATAGGCTGGGAATATGTCACTGCCAATATCTTGTGCTTAAAACATCTTTACAACCAGAATTTAGAGTCTTTGAGAGAGGAATACATTTCCAGTAGCAAAATCTGCACCTTGTAAGCTTTCCAGCAGCCATGATGAGCAGTTCCAAGTGATTCCAAGCGACCTTCAAGCAAGCAGAATGTAGGGGGGTTTTAACCAAACAGTGTAAGGCCCATCTTTTCCCAGTTTTGAGGTTCTGCAGAGGGAGTGGTTGAAGGCGTTTTATTTGTGGACAGTTCTTTGTTTATGCTGCTGGGTTTTTTTAAAGCGGTCTCGGAGCATGGGCCTGGGGACACTTACTGTATTTTAAGTGAATGTTTCATGCATGTTTCTTGCAGAAGGAGCCATGTTGAGCACTTTATCATTAACCTGATCTCCTGGCTCATATACAGAATCTGGACGTTGCTCCAAAGCACTTGTTCCCCCAACTTTCACAGCTCTTTTAAAATTGAGACACGAGTCTCTAGGAAGCATTCATTATTTCAGCTAGATCTTGGCTTTCTTGTTTCTGTGAGCAGAAAAGAAGGTCCAACGCTCCATCTCTTCCCTTCCTGCTCTGCTGTTTTGCACCACTGGGAGAACAGGTGCACGCTTTGCCCACCGGGTCAAGCTTGGGAAGTCTTTTGCTTCAGACTGATATTCTAAGACATTTTGGAGTAGGGGAGGAATCATCTGATACCCTTCCATGCCTGCTCTGTACTTTAGGTGGTTAACTGCTTTTCTGTGTCATCTCAGCTTCTGTGTTCACGCTGCCTTTTGGTATTTACATCTAATGGGTTTCTCCTGCTTCTTTAAACAGCTGAAGTGTGAAGACCACAGGCATCCTTGATGATCTCGACGTGTCCTGTACTGTCCATGTGCCTCAGCCCTGTTAAAGTGCAGTTTCCCCTTCCCAGATTTCTGACTCCTAAACTCACCTTCCACAGAGTGAAGCTTTCAGTCATGCTTCTGCCACACCGAGCCCTTGGGTCAGAATTGCTGCTCCTGACATAGCAGTTGGACCTCACCACTGACCTGTCTCACTTACCCTGCCTTTGGCTTGGCAAGTAAGGTGAGCAGAAACTGGAGACTGAGTAGGAACAAATTTTTCCACCAGAGCTTTAAATTAGATGAATGTAGAGTAGATGAAGAATAGCAAAACCATGGGAGGGCGAGCATCACCTGCGAGGAGATGGTGGCTGGTTCTGCAAGCATGGTCCCTGTGATGTGTGCCACTGTGTGACAGCACTTTGAGGAGTAGTGGGAGCCCTGTGAGCCACTCTTATATTTTGCCACACGCTTCTACTTCCAAAACCCCACAGAGGAGATCCTCCTTCAGAAATTCAAATCAACATAGACCTGGTGCAGTCTACTGGTAGCATCTCTGTGGGACCAGTTTAATCCTCAGCACATAGCAAAGGTTGTCTGTGTCCTAGAGATGTGCTGAAGTACTGCTTGAGCGTTTGGAGAAGTTTGCTGGTCCCCTCTGCAGGTATGCTGAACAAGTCATTGCCCATCTTGAGCTCCAGAGCAGCACTGTGTGTACTTTCTTCCAGGAAGATTAAATCACCAGTGCTGGGAGTTGTGAATATTTACTTTAATACCTAGAAATTACCGAGTGTCTTTCTAACTCTTCTGCTAATAGAATTGTGCCACGAGTACAGCCATCATCTGCTGTGACATCCTCCAGGCCCCGGGGCAGATGTTCCGTGAGGTCTTAGCCTAGTACATGGGGTTTTTTGGATGATGCTGGTGGCAGCTAATTTCTTAGTAGACGTCCCCCTGTGTAGTCTCCTGCCCTCCCCGCCTGCCTCTTCATGTTTACCCTGCTTTGGCTGATCTCTTTGTCTTCTTGTGTAGTAAAACCTAATCAAGACTTTAAAAAGTCTTAAAAAAAGCTCTTTTCTCTGCAGGAGACTGGGATGAACCTGTGCCCCAGTCTTTCTGCTGAGCAGTGCTGCATCAGCCTTTGGTTGGTGTCCTAAGGCTACACCAACACCTCTTCCAGCAGTCTGGGTGATGGTACTTGCCCCGCTCTGCAGCAAGCTTTAGGGATCCATATCTCCAGCTTTTGGGCATATTGTGTCTGAACACAGCCTGGCCCTCAGCACCATTTGTCTTTTCCTGAAGGTCTGAGAAGTCAAAGAGAGGGCAGAAGCTCACTTCTGGGGAAGCTGGCAAGGCCGTAGGAAAGACCCTGAGGCTCAACATGAGTGAGTGGTAGGATCTGCTGCTCAGGGAATTGTGCTGTGAAGTATCCACCTCTCCTCTGCCCACAAAGGGAGTATCACCCACTGGTGCTGTGGTCTGCCTGGCCTCCTGCACTATGATGGGGCAGTTGCAGACTAATAGTCTCATGATCTTTCCAAGACTCCTCTGGTGAGCTTTTTTTTTTATGCTGCTGCCCCTTCTTCAGGTGTTGAGGGCTGTCCTGTGCATCCTACGTGTGTTCTTCCTGAAGTTGCTGAACATGTTGAGGGAGTACTTGTTTTGCTTACAGTCATTCAACCTGCTTAACAGCTTGCTCTGCTCATTTGTGGGACAGAAGAGATGTTTGGGCCTCATCCTTCCACTGGGAATACAGAGCAGGAGCTCACACAAGGATGATTTCACCTTCTGCTGTTACATTTCAGTGGCTGCTCCAGATGTGATGTGCAGGGAGCAACCAGGTCAAGTGGCAATAGGTCTGCTTGAGCGACCTGGGGCAGACTAGCGTAGACAATGTCCTGCAGGCAAGTGCAGGGACCAGAAATATCTCCTGTCCTGTTCATATTGTCTTGTGCAGTTATGTTCATCTAGGAGGACCACGCAACATGTTGCTGAGGCTGGATCCTGTTGGTGTTGGCTCTCCCAGGTGGTAAGAGCTCCTTCATGCTTATTTAGGAAGCAAAGAGTGGCACGTGCAAAGCCTTCATTAACGATTATGTCACTGACTAAAGAGTGAGCTGGGCTCCTTCCTTCCTCATCCCCCCGCCAGCCTCCACATCCTGTCAAAGTCAGGCATCTTCTGAGGATTTGCTCATTGTCCCACATCCTTCCCTTCGTACCCTCTTCCTGCTGGTAACTACACCCATTGATGTTACAAGGCCCAATTCTATTTCTGTGTATTTCCTTTGGAAGGAGAGAAGGAAGAGGTGTCTGGAAGTGCTTTTTCCCATGTTCAGTACAGGGATGAGGCACATGGTGGTCCTTCTCATGACTGCTGCGAGTTGGCACCCTGAGCAGCTCAGGGCTGGACCTTGAAGGGCCACCAGAATGGCTCCATGTCCACATGTTGGCTTCCCTACATGGCATGTGGGTGGTAGGGACCTCAGAGTGGCAACTGGAAAGGACCTATATGCTGGGCACACCGCTGAGTGGGGAGCCACTGGAGGAGGTGGGGTTGTCTACCTTCCCTGCCCTCACTAGTAGTGAGATCATTTGGCCTAGAGCCGGCAACTGGTGTCCAGTGGCAATCTCAGACAGAAAACTGGGAGACGACTTTGAGCAGCCCGGTGAGTTCGGTGCTGACAGAGCTCAGTGCAGTAACTCAAATTTGCACTTTGTTTGCAAATCTGGCTTCTCGTGTTCTTGGGTGAGTGCTGTCCAAGAACTGTTCTATCATGAAACGAGCTGGCAGGCTCCCTTCCCTTTGTGCTTGATGAGGAAGCAGCAGGTACATTTTGTGGAAAGCCCAGGCAAGGTGTTTGTGTTTGGTCAGCTCCAAGAACATCTGTAGTGGGACATGAGACTGAAGTATTGCGTAATGCTTGGATCCTGACTGAGCTCAGGTATCAGCCAGAGTAGAGCTGCCCAGGGACACTGACTTGGAAGTGGGATCTGGGGAAAGAAGGGAATTTTCCCTTCTTTCTCTGTTGCTTGCAGAAGGTGCAAGATCCTTGTTTTTAACTTGCAAAAATTGGCCAATGTGATTCCCACATCCTGTGCTGGCCAATCAGTCTAAGCGCCAATTACAGACCTTTATCTCTTTGCCAGACAGCAGGGACAGGACACCTCTCACCTGATTTTAGATGTCAGCATGGTAAACCTCTGTCACAGGCTTTGGCAGCCTGAGCTCTCCTTCTGCTCAGTGGAGAGAGAGAAGCACTTTCAAGGCACATTTCATCTGACCTGGTTCAGGTATCTGCTGCAGGGCAAGGTAACTGACTCCCTAGAAATCTCTTCTTCTCCCCACCAGCACTGAAGAAGCCCAGCCCGACGAGTGAGGCTGGAGATGTTCACATCCTATGTGCTTTCACGTGCTGAGGTCCATGAGAAATTCTGGGAGAGAGAGAAGATTGTTACCAAACACCAGCTGGAGACCATGGAGCTCCCTTTACAGAATGAGCAGCAGTTGTTTATCCAGCAGAAAACACGTATTGGATGACTTTTAAAAAACGTGCACTCTTTTCAGTGCTATCGGAAGGCAAAAGTAGGGTGACGTTACCCTTCTTCAGTGTTATCACCAAGGTGATGTTATCACCCTGGCAAAGCAGCTCCAGAAAAAGGCCCATCATGTTCTAGCCCCTTCCCTTCTTTTTTCCCCCAAACTCCCTTACATGGTGTTTGTCTGTTCACCTCCCATTTTAAGTTGATGTTACTCTTTAAGCTGCTCTAACACTTATTTACACCTGTAACGCGTCTACACCAGCAGCTTTATTATAATTTTGTCCTTCTCTGTTGTCCACAGCTGCCAACTCTGCACCTGCTGCATCGCACCGCAGCTCTGGCAGGCAACTGATTTCCTGATTCAATGGATCTTTGTCTCTGTCCTTGCAGTTTGCACAGTCCCGGGAAGAGTTTGTTCTGACTTCAGGGATCTAAAGACTAGACAGCTAATCCAGACTAATCATCCCACTGCAGCTGCAGTCCATGGAGAGTGATAGTCCCTTGGGGATGTGATTCATCCCAGCTGATGTAGAACGTAGTGCTGGTTCATGCTCGGGCACGGCTGTCTCTCTCCATTGACTAGAGCCCGGTGACTATCAGAGAGCAGACATTCAGCTTTTAGATGACTTAATTTAACCTGGATGAATTTACTCTACGGGGTTTATGTAATTTGTAGATAAAAGACGAGCTGATTAGATCGACTATCCAGCCAGTTCTTCATTCTCTGGTTAGCCTCTGTGGAGTTCAGTAGCTCCAGGGTAAGTCAGCTGAATGGGGTGGGGGAGGTCCGTGTCACAGGCTGGGGAGTCTCTGTGCCTTGTGCACAATTTCTTGTGTGCTGTGTTGTGTTCTGGGTGGTGTGTTCCTCACACAGCAGTTCAAATCACTGGATTGTTTCTCCAAAAATAGCTCCATGGTGTGGTGTTGGTTTTTTTTTAACTAATCCCAAACCACACAGCATGTGGACAGCATCGTTGTTCACACAGCACCAGAATCCCCGGTGTGAATGTCCCTTCCTTGAAGGATTTCCAAGGAGATACTAAAAGACCATGTGAGCTATTGCTCTTGTATCCTGTGGTGTTCAATGACATGAACTTGTGCTGAGGTTCTTGCTGTGCTTCACATAAACACTGTGACCTTGTGATACCAAACAAGATGGTGTCTTGGCTTCTCTGCCAGGTGCCAGACGAGCAGACCCTGGGCTCCCAAGAAATGCTAAGGAGGAGAGTTCACTATGGTTCAGGGATAAATAAGTTTCTTGGTCGAGTCTGATTACCCACTCGGGATATTTGTATTTCATTATAACTGACACCGAGAAGTATGTTTGATTTGGAACAAATTTCAAGCAAGAACAAGTTTCAGCATCTGCATTTCCACTGTGAGCACAATGAGGGACAAAACAGGTTAGAGCCTGCTTGGCCAAGGGTGGGGACCTCTCTGGAGGGAAGGGGAGGGCAGTACATGAATCAGTTACAAGGAAAGGGAAGGAGCAGCTTGAAGAGCTGATCGTCCTCCCCTTGCAAAAGGGATACTCTGAGCACCAAGTACCAGGTGAGTGTCTGAGGAAGCCAAATGAGGAAGCTGGGGAAAGCCAGCTCCTCCCCCAGAGTGGGAAGCTGTACCTGGTGATTAACTCCCAAGCGGAGGAGTGGCACTCATGCTGAGTCCTGAAGGAACCTGTTGGGAGGAACTCAGGAGTGCAAGAGGGCCAGAAAAGACCAGGAGTCAGACAGAGGACTAATCCAGCTGGAGAGGCACTTCTTAGCATCGACAGCTCCAGCCATGTTCAACTACCTAGCAGTAGAGGTGAGACCCCAGTTCCACCGCAGCTATGGGAGCCAGCAAGGGGTGTCTGGGCCACTGAAGAACCGACTTGAGCAGCTGAAGAAGCCATGGTGGAGGGAGCCCACCCCACTGGTGCTCCAGCACAGTGAAACAGCCAGGCTTGCCATAGACGCCTTCCTTGAGCAAGGGGAACGCGGCTACCTGAGCGCCATCGCTGAGGAACGGGAGCTGCCTTTTCTTTCCAGCCTGGACATGGAATATATGAGCCATCAGAGAAACCAAAGCTTTTCAGATCCCAATGCGATGAAAGACAAAGAGGCTGACCCTGGTGATGACAGGTCCTCCCTCAACTCCGAACTAACATCTGGCACCTACTTTCCGCTCATGTCTGATGTGCACCCTCCAGAGCTGGAGCTGGGGTGGCCAGGGACACCACTGCTCACAGTGTCTGGCCAGACTCAAGCCACTGTGATTTTCCAAAGAAACAAAGCTAACAGCATTAAGGATTTGCTCCGGTCTCTGATCAGCCGGGCACGGACGGTACGTATAGAGCTGCAACCCCTGAGTGGGGTCTTGTGCCACATCACCCAAGTCCTGGTGGCTGGTCCCACAACTGCACCACACACTCCAAGCTGCTGCTGCTCTGTCCATGTCTGGCATGATGTGATTGCTTTTTCTCTAGCAGATCTGTAACTGTTCCTGCTCCTTTCATTTCCTGTAATTTCTTTCCGTCTGGGATTTCATGTCACCCGGGCAGTGCCCTCGCAGGCTCCCTGTGTTGGTATTTGCAGGTACGCAGAGGAAGGTACCAAAGCCTGGAGTGAGTGGCAGGGGGAGCAGCATTCATGCTCAGCTGTCCTCAGCCAGCAAGCGCACACCAGCCAGCCCTGCTGCTCTCTGCCAGGGACTTTGTGTGGCCAGGGCTCTTCCCAGCCCCTGGACATCATGCTGAGTAGGACAAGATGATACTGCGGGTAAGTTGCTGTGGGAGAACGTAGGACCCGAGTAAACTTGTGGGACTGAAAAGCCCTGCCTGTGGTTTGAAGCAGGTTAGAATTCATCATCCTGTCTTCTAGACTTGATGTCTGTGCCTCTCTGAGGATGAGTAAGATCAGCCCGTTTTGCCCCATCCCACAGTTTCTGCTGGGTGGAGATTGCCAACCCTCGGCTGGAATAAAAACCGGGTGACCACAATAGCTGCCTGCCGAGCACAATCCGGGCGTGAATTTACTCACTAAATTACGCTCCTTGTTTCTTTTTCCTGTGCCGCTATACCGAGTGCTAAAGCAGTGGCTTAGACAGCTGGATCTCAGACACATTTCCAGCTTCTATTGCTTTTCTCCTCTTTATGGTTCTTTTCATCTGTTCCATGCTAATTTTATTTTGTAGCATTTCATTTCAACAGCGTGGTGATAGTGAGTAAACTTCTAGTGCAAAGTTCACTTTTTACCAGTCAGCTTCCAGGCAATTTCTCTTATCACTCCAGTAGTTTCTTATTTAACTTTACGGTCACTCCTTACATTCATTACTGCCTAGTGCAAAAAGTAGGAGATAAAGAATTGTTAAGCCTGAGCTTCAGCTGTGTGACAAACAGAGCCAAGTGTTACCTTCCAACACCATCACCAGAGCTGAGCAAACAGAGTTCTGTTGTCCCCAGCAGACGACACTGGGACCAGGCAGCAGCTCAGATTGCTGTGCAGCATCACAACATCATCCAAGAACCACCCATCACTGAAATTTGGGTGATATGAGGTAAATGGGGATCTTTTTTTTGCTTTTGTCCAAAAGAAGACTGTTTTGCCACGTAAGCTACTGCTCAGTTATAAGCAGCTATTGCTTAATGCCTGAACTTCCATTGCACCTTTGTAGGCAAATACGGGAAGTTTTGTCCAGGAAGTTAGTGACAAAAAGCTTTGTTTGTCCTTGCAGGCAGCTGATTTATGACACCTGAAATGATCTGAAAGTCCTGTGACACTGACTGCATCTTTCTCAGCAATGGGGATTAAGACACAGTCATGGCAGAATGCACAAAGTAAATGACTACCAAGAAATGTCCCCTTGTCACTTAGCACGTGTCCCGGATCTCTGATGATGTTATGATCCTTTAAAGCACATGACAAACATCTTGCTGCTTTCTCCGTTCACGGGAACTCCTCTGGTGCTGCAGGCAGGCTGCCCGGGCAGTAGCTGCTTTGTTCTACTTTAAGTACATGTTGAGCTTTTAACTATTTTTTTTTGCTTTGCTTGAAAAAGCACAGACAATCTTCAGGCCTGGAGGGTCAAGCTCAGCATTTTCACGCTGTGTTTTTGACTGTTGTGTGACATGTGAGAATGAGTTTTCAACCATCTTACTAGTGTATTACTAGTATTTTACTGGCTCTAGGTTAGCAGCTCTGGCCAGTGCTTCCCATGATTAACTCTATGATTGACAGCAGTTCCAGCTCATTCACAACCCCAGTTACACATCTTTAAGTAGTTACTGAGTCATTTGCTCATCAAACCATCCAAAAGGACATTACCTCTGTGTCTTTTAATGACAAAAGAGCAACCAGATGTAAAAACATCTTTTGCTTGAAGTGTCAGTAGCAACTGTGCAGAGAACTGCTCGCTTTTCTGCTTTTCAACTGCTGTTTCATAGAATCATAGAATGGTTTGGATTGGAAGGGACCTTAAAGCTCATCCAGTCCCAACCCCCCTGCCATCAGCAGGGACACCTTCCACTAGACCAGGTTGCTCAAAGCCTCATCCAGCCTGGCCTTCAACACTTCCAGGGAGGAGCAGCCACAGCTTCTCTGGGCAACCTGTTCCAGTGTCTGACCACCCTCACAGTGAAGGTTTCTGTTTCTGAATTTCAAATATTTTTTCCACTAGACTTCAAGCTCCTGTCACATTTCCCTCCTTTGGAGTGTTTCTCCTCCTGTGTGCTTCCAGATAACATAGACGGGAGATACAGTGCTGGTGGGAATGATGTTGAGATCCCCGAATGCTTTTCCTGGGTCCTGTAGACATGAAGGCGTGTGTCTTGAAATGTTGTTTGCTGTTTTCTCCTGTACACTCATCCAGAACAACATCAGCTGACAGATTTTGCAACAGCGTATTTGTGCTGACAAATCAGCAAAAAGGGCTTTTGTTTTACGGGTCCTTTCACTGGTGCCGTTTGCCTTTCTACTTTGCCGTGTTTACCAGCTGGCTTTGAAGATGTATTTTCAGATTTGAGCTTTTCTCTTTGCAGACATAAGGAGATGCAGCGCAGCCACACCTTAGCCTTCGTTTGATAATGCTATTACAATTTGACTTTTGTTTGGATGAGCTCCAATCCATTTGAACTGGCCACGCTGCTTCTCTCACCCTCTCTCGTACAGCCCTGACACTGGCTGCGCGGCTGCGTTTCCGTGCGATGGTAGAAGGGTCTCTGGTGGTTCCCCAGAGCAGCAAAGTATCACTTCAAATGGCAACGCTCCGGTAATGACCAAAACCACACTGCTATTGGCAAATACCAGTAAAACCAGCTGTGCTGGTTAGAAACCAGACAGATGGCAACCCCAGTGGGGTGCTGGTAAGTGTTGTCATTCCCAAAGTGATGACTGCAGTAATTGCTGAATTGTGAGTTTCCAGAAGTGGGTTTAGAAATGTCATGATTTATCCCCACAATGGCAAGGTGTGAATTTTCTAGAACCCGTGGGCCAACTTTGCCATGTCCTCACCTGCCAAGGCTGTGCCATGGGCTTGGAGGCCGTGATCAGCATGGTGAGGAACAGGGATGCTCTGAGGCAGCCCCAGCCTTGCATCTCCCACCACTGAAACCAGGAGGCTGGAGGCACTGGACATGGGTTGCTTTGGCCAAATTGACTTAAATGCCCAAGGCTTCTAAATGGGAGACCCGAGTCGTCAGGAGCCTGAACTGGAGATGGTACTTAGGTATCTAACTTCCATTGTTTTGGAAATTAGTTGGAAATTATCTTTGAGGCTTTAGACCTCACTTTTGTGACAATATCTTCTTAGGAAGCTTCAAGGGAAAGACTTCCAGGATCTTCTTCCCCCAAAACTTCTTGGCTTTGGGGTTGAGCTGGTGTTATTATAAAAGCTGCCTGCTTTGTTTACCAAGAGGATATGGTGATCTGAGTCACCTTTATAGTTGTCCTCTGGCACCCATGCTTAGAACGAATGGCCCCACCATGGGCACCTGCATCTCCACCACACGAGGCTGTGGCAGGGCACAACCTCCCCTCTCCCCCCTGCAGTGCTCCCTGCTGAAAGCTGCCATGAACAAGGGGCTGCCTGTCCATGAATCCTTCACTACTTTACTGTTTTCAGTACCCCAGTGTGATGCCATCTTCCATGAGTTCTCAGTGTTAACTCTTAATGGTTCAAGGTCTGAGTGACTGGATTGCTCTGCAAGCACCCTCAGGTGAAGTGCATCAGGCCTGACAAATCATCCAGCTCAGCAAGTCCTCTCCTGCCTGTTCCTTCCTTCTTCAAGATGTCCCCCTCATTCCTGTAACTAATGGTGATGGCCAACAGATGGATCCCAGCAGTTCTTTCCTGATCCAAATAATATCCACCCTGATGTTGTCTGCTCACAGCCTCACTCTGCAAGGAAGAGTGGAACAGCTTCTCCAGTCACATCTTAATGTATTTATGGTTGTTTTCCCTTGATCCATTGTTCTGGTTACAGGTCATCTGAATTTTCATACAGGTACTTTGAATTTTCTAGGTCTGGGTCAACTCACTTGTAGTAGGTACTTGTCATGACCTACCTTCCATTTTCTGTATTTTCCTTCCAGGTTTTGGAGAATCTGTTTAGCCAAGATGATCTGCTGCCTCCCATCCCATCTCCACAGTGGGATGGGTTGCCATGAGCTTCTTCAATCTCATTCTTTAAAGAACCGGCAGTTTTCTTTAAAATTCTTTTCCTTTTTAAAACTTCTCCCTTGGTGACCTTATCTTGCAAGTCTTCAGTTTATTGAGATAGATTTTACTGAATGCTTTTTTTTTTTTTTTAAGAATGTTAGTGTTATTCCTTCTTCCTACTGTTAGGTTTCATAACTATCACTGGCATCTTGGGCTGTGTTTGCAGGAGCACTGCCAGCCGGGAAAGGGAAGGGATCCTTCCCACACACATTATTCTACAATTTTCTCTAGTTGCCCCTAAGATGTCATCTTGGAACAAAGACATGTACACACTTGATTGAGATACCTTCTCCCTTACCTGGCAGCGTGTCCTTCCTGAAAAAAAAGATTCTTTATATTAATATGCTGGTCATCTACGGAGTCCCTCATACCGACTGAATAATGATTTTGGTCAGTCTGAGCTCTTCCATTTATATACTGTATTTCTGGCACATTTGCTTGAGGCAACACATACTGGTTGCATCAATGAGATTCAGAGTTTGTGCACTTGCTTTACCCTTTCAGCTGTTTCTTTCTCTGAATGACAGATGAGACAAGAGGTAGCTGTGTGGGGAAATGTCTTCATAGTTATTAAAAGTGATTTTTACCTGCCATGGTGGGGTAAAGGCTGTTAAACACAAAGGTCCAGAAGCAATCTCCACCCATGTGGCCACAGATGCTCTGTAACTCAGGAGATTTGAATACTTAATTCACAGTTTAAAGCACAATTCACTTGGGCATGAGATTTCAACGTTCTCTTGTTTTTTCCCCCCATCTCTTTTCTCCTGGCTAGGTGATAGCAATTGTGATGGATCTGTTTACAGACATGGAAATACTGTGTGACCTGCTGGAGGCCTCAAGCAGACGCCACGTCCCTGTTTACCTGATCCTGGATGAAGAATACTTGAAGCATTTTGTGGAAATGTGCAATAAAATGGCTCTTACTCAGGACAGCTTCCCAGTAAGTTTTCAGACATGCACTGGATATGATAAACAGGTCTTGGAAGCGATAAAAACCATGTACCCTTTGTTCTGTTCCCTCTGCCTGGTCCCTAGGACGTATCCCTTCTCCCACTGTCCCAGGCTAAGAGACCATGGCTGTTTGGTCCAGGAAATCGAGGTCTGTCTGGAAGCATAGGGGAAGGAGTGGAGGAGCCTCCTACTCCCATATCTTGATCTTTTGTGGTCCTCATTTCAGTTTTACACACAAGAAGTGTGAAGTCAAGGCTGATAAGATGCAGTGCATCACTGAATGCTTTGCTGGGCTGGTGCCAGATAGGCAGGCAGAGGCAGACCAGAAAACTTACATTCATGTGGACCTGTATCATCTCCTTTCCTTGTCCCCTCCCAGCCCCTGCTCTAGGACATAGAATTGCAAGACTTAAATTGCTCATAGTTTAGATCCCTGAGCTCAGTTTAGATTCTGGCCAGAGCTGCTGTAGTGCAATAGCTGGATGGGGAAGGGGAGCAGTGAGTCCCTTCAGTTGTCCTGATGCAAACCCTACCCTTTCCTCCCAGCCCTGCTGCACTGCCTCGACGCAAAACCACACTAAACATTTCCCGTTGAGATCTGCTTTTAGGCTTTGTGATTTGGTTGTGGGTCATGAGGGACGAACCCCTCTTAGTGGGGTGCCCATCAGCAATGGTGTGTGGTGCCCAGAGCAGGCAAACAGCACAAATTAATGTGTCAGTGCAAGAGGCTCTCTTGGGAACTTGCAGACTCAGAAATGCACCTCAGTGTCTTGCTGATCCCCATTTAGCCTTTCTGGCTACTCCCTATCAATGAAGGTGGGTTTTTTTTGTCATCATTTGTCAGTCCTGCAAAGCCAGCAGCCCGGGCTGTGCTCCTTCACTGGGTGCACAGCATTCCCTGGAGGAATGATTCTCTTCCAGCCACCAGTTTCGTAGGTTTTTCCCTTCATCTAGGTGGGGAACACTTGGAAGTTTTCCAGTTACCTCAAAACCATGCTGAACTAAAAAACAGGCTAGGGAAAATGCAAAGATAATGTCTTACAGCATTCAAAAGAGATGCAGCTGTAAATGTCTGAATTTCCCCTCCTTTTTCACCTGCCTACACAAAGGTTAATTTAGAGAGGCTTCCTTCTTGCCCCATGTTGGTGATGCTTTGTTCTTTCTTGCTTCTCATAAGCCAGACCCATCTCATCCTGCCTCTTGAGATGGCAACTGTTAGGGAAAACTGCTTCATGCTGGAGCACATTTGCTTTCATAAACAACTGCATCACTGAAGTCACCTGGTGGATAAATTCCATCTCTCCAAAATTTATTTTATTTGCTTCTTATCCAAGAGCCTGGCTGTTGTTTTTAATTAAAATTCGAATGAGTTTACATCCATGGAGATGTCTACATCTTTTTGTTAGGCCTTGCACTTGAATGGCTAATTAACACTTGCCTCCCCCATTCAGTGACTCATGGGCAGGTTTGGATGTGAAGTGCCTCTTAAGCTGACGCATCTCGAGCGGTACATTAACATCCACGCTTGACATTCACCTCTAAGTGGAATGAGTGTACATATTTTATTCCTGTCTCTGAGTTGCGAGAGGATGTGATGGTAAATCTCCATTTGGAATAGTTGGTGACAATTTGGGGTTTAATGGGGAATTTGAGGCAATTGCACCACCAGCATCTTACTTTGAAGAACTTTGTGTGGGCCCACTGGTGTCAAATCCTGGTGCTGAACATCAGCAAATCCCTCAGTGGTGCATCGAGGATTGGATTGTTGGATTTTTTGTAAACAGTCAAATCTGCCAAGCCTAAAACTACTGTCTACATTGAGTGAGTGGTACCTGGCAGTCTGGCTTTCCGGCAAGTCTGCAGGATTCTCATCTTGTTTGGACAATTCAGGGCCCAGATTGCCAAGAGGAAGAAGAGGATGGAAAAAATGATCCAGAGATCAGAAACTCACCCAGCCTTGGAAAGGATACAGGGAATGAAGAAATACTGCAGTGACAAATCCATGGGATATCCTTTATTTGAAGTGGTTTTAACTTCCCTAGGGGAGGAGAGGAAGCTCTTCCCAGTGAGAACTGGTACTACTAAAACCTCAGCACTGGAAGAAAAAAATCCTTGTGTTGATTTGCAACAGGATTAGGTGAACACCTCCCCAAGCATCCAGCGTATCTTGCTCTATATCAGCAGCTTGTGGTGGCATTTCCAAGTATCACAGGTTAATCCAGGGACCTCAGGAGGTCATCAAGTCCAACCTCCTGATCACCTGTCAGGTCAGACATAGTTGCTCAGGGTCTTACCCGGTCTAGGTAAGGCAGACTCATTGGAAATCTCCAAGCATGGAAACTGCACAACCTCTCTGGGTAACTTGTTCCAATGCACAACTGTCCTTAGGGGGAAGAAGTTTCTCCCTTCTCAGAGGTGACAAATGAGGACGTGTTCTGGGACGGCAATAAGCGAGAGCTGATTGTGAAGCTTCAGCTCTGTCCCTGCTAAAAACTTCCATGAACTCTAGAGAAGACTGGTCAAGTACTTGGAGAAGAGGTCCAGGGAGAGATTCCCACTAAGACAAAACACAAGAAGCTCAGGAAATTCCCTAAGGAGAAAACAGTCAGCAACAATATTAGGGGGCAGAGTCATAAATTATTGCCTCCTTCATCCTCTTCCCCAGCTGCCCTTACCCACTGCAAGAGACGAACTTGGGTCAGATGGATCCTGGTCTGGAGGAGATTTGCTGCTGTTATGAAACCCTGAGGGCCATGGTGTTCCTTGGGTGAGTGGGGAGACTTCCTCAGCACAACATTCAGAGTCAAGTCTTTCCCACCCTGCTGCAATGAGCCCCCCAGCAAATGTTTCCAGGAAGCTGACCTCCTGCCCGCAGGGACTCTGATGGAAGAGGAAAGCTGTCAGGAATGGAGTCACCAGGCGCAAGGTGACTGCTTCCTACTCCTCACCCCCCCAGGCACAAGTTCCACACCGTGAACCCCCATGTGAGGCCAGAGACTGGGCGAGCCGGTCCCTGGCTGTACAGGCAGCCTGGGGAGCCCACACATGCTCACCCCGCCTGGGAGGAGGAGGAGGGGGGGGAGAAAGGGGCACAGCCATGCCCAGGAGCAGCTCCGGGAGGGGTGGCAGGGACATGGGTCTGCACCCTGCAGAGAACATCCATAAGCAAATCACAGCTGTCGGGGCTTGTGTTTTGTCTGCAGCGCTGGCTTTCAAACTGCTGTGTCTGACAGACGGAAATCTGCTGCGTGGTGGAGGAGAGGCTGCCACTGCCACCAGGAGCACCCAGCAGCCACGGCCAGCACCCACCTCCAACACCAGGCACAATGGCCCTGGTGGCCGTGGGTCCTTCGTGGGGTGGTGCTGGGCAGGGATGAGCTGCCCACGGAGGGATCTGCTGGGCCCAACGTGGGTGGTGACAGGTTGTGACGGCTCCTGGTGTGCCACAGCCGCTGCAGGTGGCAGGGGAGCTGGCCTGGAGGGGCGGTGAGGGATGACCTGGCAGGTCAGTGTAGGTGCAGCCTGAGGGACGTTTATTTACATACAAAATGTTTTGTTTGGCACTGTGACATATAGACCAGGCCAGTAACTGTCTCTAGTGACTGTTCTCCTCTTTGGCTTTCCCCAGCTGAGATGCAAAGAACTTTTATTTATGGGCAAAACCCTCATGTTACCAAAAAGGTTCCTGATGGATACTGGGCAGTATCCCATTATTTCCCATTTGGTACTGGGCAGTCAGTTTTACAGGCCGAAGTTGTATCAGAGAAATTCTTTGCAGTCTTTAAAGCAGAGGAGCACCAGGTCTGTTCCACTTGAATACAGCAGCTGAAAATTGCAATAAAATTTGTAAATATACTGATAAAAGGCAATTCTTAAAACGTAGCTGTAGCTTTTTTTGTAAATCTTTTTTTATTGAGTGATATTTTGGTTTTAAGAAGCCTGTCACTGTATAAAATCAGGACAGCACATTCAATTGATTAGAAACTGGTGAGGTGTTATGGGTCAAAATTTGGTTTAAATGCCGAGTTCAGTTAGTGGATGTTATCAATAATAACTCAAGAAACTGTATGGTCTTACATACTTCAGAAATGATCCGTAGGCTCATAGGATTCTACAAATATTTTTCAAACCAGCATTTGTACCTAAGTGCAACTCGTTAATCATTTGCTGGCATTTTTATCTTGCAGAAGCAGACAGTGTGACAAAATATTTGGTATGTAGAAGCCAAGAAACACTTAATGAGTCGCTGCATTCCACCTCTGGGAGCAGAGCTCCCGCTTGAGGGAGGCCATCAGTGATGCTTAAGAGACCATTTCATAGTTCAATACATGTCCTCTTACCAACTCTGCTTTCTTTGGTTTCAGAACATGCGCATCAGATGTTTGAGTGGAGACACATACTACAGCAAAGCAGGCAAGAAATTTGCAGGCCAGGTTCTGGAGAAGTTTATCATGATTGATTGTGACCAAGTTCTTGCTGGTACATACAGGTAATAAAAAGTAGCAACTCCTGTGACAAAGACTGGTGACGCTGAGAAAATATTCCTTACCAAAATCCTGAGTAATGTAGCTCTTTTTTTAATTATTATTTTTCTTTTCTCCATGATAATGATACACTGTTTTTCCTCTTCATTTCTCCTTCTAAATGTCAGGTTTCATTTTGGTGCTTTACCTTCTTCTATTCCACCCTCTTGCTCTTACCTTGCTGTTTAGCTTTCAGATAGAATTAACTGCTTGGCTGCCAACGTTGACACTTCCTGGACACATCCTGTATCACTTCATTTCTTAAAAATGTAAAAAATGTTCTGCCAGGTCAGATCATGTCCACCTGGCCTAAACTGCTATTTGTGGTCCATTCCTCTTGTCCTCCCGCAGCATGTGCAGTCATTGCACACATCCCTACTGAATCCCTTCAGCACCTCTTCTCCACCTCTTGTCCATGAATTTGCCCTAACTCAGTGTCTGTTTTAAACCAACTTCTGATAATTTCACGAGGCGCCCACAGTTCTGGTGCTGCAGATGGGCAAAAGAGCTGTCCCACATTCAGCTGAATCACTGCTTTCATGATTTTCCAAGCCTCCATCTCATCCACCCTCCCTGCCTTTTTCTTATCTCAAGTGAGGACCTCAGCCTGTTCAGTCACTTCTCATATGGCAGCTGCTGCACCCCTCAGTCATTTTATTTACCTTTCACTGCACCCTCTCTAACCTCACTGTGTCCTTCTTGAGACGCAGAGACCAGAACTGCATGCATCCCCCAAGAGGGTCAAAATGATGTCCTCTGCTCTTTTATTATCACCCTTGCTGACAGTGACCAACATTCGCTGACATTTTTAGGTGCCATTGCACACTGAGCTGATGATTTTGGAGAACTGCATGATGATTCCAAGCTCCTTCCTCAGTTGTTCGAGGTTTAGCATCATACAGGTCTGACACAGATAATTTTTCCCTATGGGTACCCCACATTTTCCTACAGTGAACTTCATCTGCCACATATTGGTCCACTTGCTCAGTTTTGTGAGGTCCTTCTGGATTTCCTCACCTTCAGTAAGGTATCCAACTGCCTGAAGGAACTAAGAACCCTCTGCCAGCCTGGGGATTTCACTGCACCCCTCCATGCCTGAGCTCACCCATAGGATGAAAACAGGTCCCAGGACCAGTCTCTGGGGCCTCACTGCTGACTCTGACCCACGCTGAAAAACTACTATTAAGCCCAACCCTTTGCATCCTGCGCTGTCACCAGCTCTTGATCCATAACAAGTCCATAGCAACGTAAGTTTCTTAAAAGGCTTTGGTGTAGAACCTTGTCAAAGGCTGTTTGAAAACCCCAAACCAGGTAGTTGACTGGTCCCTTTATCCATGTGCTCAATGGCTCCCTCACCAAACCCCAGCAGGTCTGTGAGGCAGGGCTGGCCTTTACAGATCTTTTTCCAAGAGGGTGTGCTTCTCCATGCTATCAGCCATCTCGTTCTTCACAGCAGACCCTTTAATGTCCCATGGTGGAGGTCAGCTCCCATGGTATGTGGGTCTCAAGATTATGTCCAGAGCTGTCTCTGTAGATGGGATCAGACTGGAAACTTCCTAGTCTTCAGCAAAGTGGTCTTTGCAGTGGCCGTGGTACACAGAATCACAGGATGTCAGGGATTGTAAGGGACCTCGAAAGATCATCCAGTCCAACCCCCTGCCAGAGCAGGAACCTCAATGAGATCACACAGGAAGGCGTCCAGGCAGGTCTTGAATGTCTCCAGAGAAGGAGACTCCACACCCTCCCTGGGCAGCCTGTCCCAGGGCTCTGTCACCCTCACTGTAAAGAAGTTTCTTCTCAAGTTTAAGCGGAACCTCCTGTGTTCCAGCTCACACCCATTGCCCCTTGTCCTACCATTGGGCATCACTGAGAAGAGCCTGGCTCCATCCTCCTGACATTCGCCCTTCACATATTTATAAACATTAATGAGGTCTCCCCTCAGTCTCCTCTTCTCCAAGCTAAAGAGCCCCAGCTCCCTCAGCCTTTCCTCAGCAGGGAGATGCTCCACTCCCTTCATCATCTTGGTGGCTCTGCGCTGGACTCTCTTACACCCGAGTTAAACATGTTTCAGTGTCACTGAGTGAGCAATGGACACAAAAAATTCCCTGACGTTCTCTGCGATGGTCTTGTCATCACTGAATGCCCCTTTTGACTCGCAGGTCTCAAATGGGCCCACCAATTTCTTAACTATCAGTACAGTAGGTTTGGACAATTTATAAGCTGTAGTCCTCCTGGGTTTTCTGGACTGCTCCTTTTCAGCCTTTTTTTTACTAATTGCTGCATTTTTACATAGTTACCGTTCCTGAAACTGAATATCCACGTGCTGTGTTTATTCAGATTGCTCTCTCCCACTGCAGATCGTGTTGTGAGCATTGTTACAAATGGGCTCTTCCACTTCTGCCTCTGGAATTGAGTCTCATGCATCATTCCAGACCACATCCTGAATAGCATCTTTTCTTGTGGGTCAAACAATTTAGACTAGTTAATTCTGGCAAGTAATAATTTATTGCTTCCAAAACATTTTTCTCCACAGCTCATCCCAGTGAAGCATTAACTTAGTATGTATATGAGTGGATGAAATCTCCCACTATTACTACCTGTCCTAATTTTGCAGCCTGTGTAATCTCAGCTGACGTTGTCTGACCACCATCTCTGTTCTGATCAGAGGGTTGACAGTACTGCTCTTGTACTGTATTTTAATTACTAGACTCCAAGTTTTCCACCTACAGATCTTTCTCACGGTATTTTCACGCTGTTGCACATCATGTTATCCTTCACAAACAGTGCAGCTCCCCGGGACAGACTGCTCTGATATTTCTGTGAGTTTGGTGCCCTGGCAATACTTTGTTCTCCTTCTCCCTTCCTCTTTTCTATCTCCCAGCCAGCACATGCTGGACCCTTGATCTACCAGTGTCCTCATCAATGCTGTAGCTCCAAGCTGCACCTTCTCCTCTGCTTCTGACTTCATAATCTCTGAGTGTGGAGGTCTCACCTTACTAAACTCTTGCAGTTTGATAAATGGAAGTACCCAGTTGAAACTGGTTATGCAGAGTCTCTATATAAACAATATGGAAGGCAGTGTCTGGCAGCATTTTGACCATTCTAAGCCATGTATCTAAGAAGAATGGAATGAATCACTGCCTGGAAACATCAGTCCATCTCCATTGACCACAGGGGGTGAGGATTAGATAACTGAGACCACTCATTTTTGAATGGCCAAATCTGAGCATGTGTCAGCTGGACTGAACTCCACAGCTGGAGGAACACCTTCTTTCCCTGTGGCCCAGAGTCAGGGTATTGCTTAAAACGCAGATTCGGTTCTCTGGGTCACTTCTTCCCTCTGCTGTTCTGGGGCAGGGATTTGGGTCTGTGCTGTGCTCTCTTTCTATAGATGTCTCTACAGCTGAAACCTCTGGAGTTCTGGAAGATGATTGTTCAGTTGAATAAGGTCTTATCTCTGATTCTCTGCTGTCAGTAAGCACATGATGTTCTGAACTAAAAGAAACAGTCTGTCTTTGTGGAATTTGTTCAGTGGTCAGAAACACTTTGACAGAAGAAAATCAGGAAGTCTGCCACTGGTTATACTGCAGCCTGCTGCTGTACCCAGTATGGTGGATATTTAGGTTACTCTCCCTGCAGATGGGGAAGCTAGATTCAAAGGATGAGAATAGTTACTGAGCAAAGCCAAAGACGCAGGGTGGATCCAGGGGTGTCTCAGGATGATACAGGTAAGAGTGTAAGAGTGTTCTTACTCAGTGGCAGGTTTTACAGTTCAACAATCTTGTGTGCAAGGATCAGAGGTTTCAGAAACTCTGGGGTTATATGTTGTGTGTGCTTCTTTGTGTTCAATTTGCCATAGGAGACTTTTTCCCACCATGGTTGGCCTCCACAGTACCCTCTGGCAAGGGGTGATGCAGTTTAATTTATGTTTTGTGTGAAGAAGTGATCCATTGTATTTACATTAGACCCACTACTAGATAATTATATTTGATGCCCCCAAATTCCCATAACTTGGGCACAGTAAATCGCTGTTTTCTATTTACTTTCTTGACTGCATCCATGATTTTGTCCTCCTCCATTATAATCCCTCATGTGAATCATCTCTTCTCCAGCCAAAGTATCCTTGGCTGTTCAGTCATTTCTCATGTAGGAGACCTTCCAGACCTTTAATCATAATCGTGATCTTTTGTGAGATTAATTGACCAGAAGTGCATGAAGTGGTCAAGATATCCCCACCCACTACACTTCAGCATTGTAGTATAATGATGGGTTCTGTCTTCGTCCCCATTCTGGCAGTTCCTAGTCTGCTGTTTGCCTTTTTGACTAGTGCTAAACATTGAAGTGATCATTTTCTTTGAACTGTGCATAGGAACCCTGACCTCTTTCGTAAGTGTTAGTATCTGAAAACTCATCAATATACAGAGACTATCAGGGTTTTTGCAACAGTTTGAGTTTATTGACATTGAATTTTGTCTATCATGTTGTCACTTATTCGTCCCACACCATAAGATCCTCTTGCAGCTTCTGATTATCCAGTTTTCTTTTGACCACCCATGATCATTTTGTCATGGGCTCTGACATGGACTGTTCTACCATTTTTTAGGACTTTTCTGAATGTGTTGAACTGCAGCGACCCCAGCACAAAACTTGTGGGATTCCAGCTATTTCAACTATTGCTAGCATTTGTATCCCATCTTTAATCAACTATTACTCATCAGGAAGTCCTTGCTTTGTACTCCATGATCACTTAATTTTTCTAAGAGTCCTTGCTGAATGACAGTGTCAAAATCTTGAAAATTCAAGTGTCCACCACCAAGCAGATCATACTTGATCTGCGTCCATCACACACAGATCATGTGTGCTTGCTGCCTCCTTCAAAGAACTGCAGGAGGCTTTTGAGGCATGGCTTCCTTCCACACAAATATGCTGAGTCTTCAGCATTATGATTATAGTTATTTATGCATCT